ATCAAGGATGAACATATAAGTTTTCAGTTTTAACAGCTGGATGGAAGATGGTGCTCTTGTTGAAATGCCTTTGAGATGTTGAGTCATTTTTAAATGGTCATTAGATTTGGCTGCAGGAATCCGGAGTTTGGAGCAAGATCTGAGCAAAAAGCAAACTTTGGGAATCCTTGCCTTAAAACTAATATTTAGCACCATAGAAATATATGACATCATCTAGCAAAAATAGAGAGAGATATGAAGATGTAGCCCAGAAATCAGGATTTGATACTAAATCGCTGCTCATTCCCAGCAGGCTCTAAAAGCCACTTGATCTTTTGCTTTCAGTGCTTTGGGTAACATTATAAGTGCACTCAACTATACTCACCACATTTTGAAAACACAGTTACAACATTTGGGTTCTCTAGTTTACTCCAAGTTATCTTCCTTCTTACCCAGTTACCTTCAAAAATTTAAGTAGTTATCAATGTATTAATATATCAATTGTGCCAACAGCTCTAATGAGAGCACAGTGTTACATGAGACATACTGCTTTACTATTAACCACAGTATATCCAGTTAAACTGACGATTTGGGGGATGGGAAAAAGACAGCATGTATTCAATTGAGCACTTATTCTTAAGAGACCTAATGAAAAATTGTGACTCAAGAGTAATTGCCATAGTCATTTCAGGCAAAAATAACTGGATGCATATATGTATAAAATACCATCCTTTCAAAAAGCACAAAACAAATTAACAGCAGCTGCTGATCACTCATGAGTAACTCAACACCATAAGAATGTGTACTTGAGCAATGGAGGGGAGCATTTTAACAAGGAAATAAATCTATGTTTTAGGCTTTACAGAATTCTACAGATGATATAGAGCAGTAACTTAAGTATGCCATTTATTGTTTAAGAAATCTGCTTTTGGAAATACAATCTCTCTAATATCTCTCGTAACCAAAATAAACTATTTGCCTGTAGACCAAAGGTAACACAGATAAAAAGTAATAAAATTTCCTTAAATAGTACTGGGCTAATTGACTTAATTATTGTCACTATACTGTCATTTGGTCCAATATTGGTGACCCACTTCACGCCAAGCAAAACATTTTAGTCTTCAGCATCTAGGAGACTTTTATTTAATTGGAAGATAGCCAGAGACAGACACACACACAAAGAGAGATCCCATCCACTGATTCATTCCTCAAATGCCCACAGTGGCTAAGACTGCATCAGGCTGAATCCAGGAGCCGGGAACTCAACCCAGGTCTTCCTTGTGGGTGATAGAGACCCAAATGCTTGAGCCATTATCTGTTGCTTCCCAGGGTGAACATTATCTGGAAGCTGGAATCAGGAACCAGGGCTGGGACTCAAACACAGGCAACCCTATATGGGATGCAGGCATCACAACTGGTGGCTTAATCTCTAGGCCAAACACTATCCCCTTAGTACCTACTGAAGCTAGAAATGTAGGTAGAACTTCATTAAAGCAAAAATAAAGTTACCTCAAAGGAACTAATGCACATTGGGTAACAGATCTCTGGGATATACTTCGTATGTCTATAGTGGCTCACATAATCCTCCCATGTCCCTATTGTGTTATTATAAATCTCATTTTACAGAAGAGGATATCAAATCCTAGAGAGTTAATCAGCTAGTATAGAGTAGGTTATGCTAGAGTAAGAAGCATCTCAGAACTATAGTGTATGAAGGCAAAAGATTGAGTTGTCACTGTTTGGTCAACTGGTCTAAACTGGAGTTTGTTGCTGATCCAACAGCTATCTTAATGCAGAAGTTGACCCAGGAACCCATCTCAACCTCTAGAATGGATGGCTGTCAGACTCACTCTGGCAGCACGGTGTCCAGAGACATCATGCAGAATCTTCTTTGCATTCCTTCTCACCTGGAAGTAGCCTATTTCACTTCTACTCACATTTCATTAATGACAAATGGTCACAGGTTTCCTTCTAGTTGAAAACGTACAAGTTTCATGTGCCAGGGAGGGTGAGAATGGATATAGCTAAGTACCAATAACCTACTATCTGGAGATCATTTAATTAAATCAAAGCTAAAAAGCTAAACTTTGGTAAAAATCAGGATTTAGACATTTTTTTCAAAAATAGACTCAACACTCAACTCTACATCTTGGGTTCTCATGCTCTAGCCATGTAGCATCTTCTGGCTTTTGGCCCTGGATGTCCTAAATACAAATAAATGATTAAACATGCCTTACATGAATTTTAAGTTTAAAAATAAACCTTATCTCAGTTGTTAAGTTTATTCTCACTTTAAGAAATAGTTGCCAGGGGCCGGTGTTATAGCACAGTGGGTTAAGCCATGTCCTGCAAAGCCAGTATCCAATATGAGTGCTGTTTTATGACCTGGTGGCACCACTTCCCATCCAGCTCCCTGCTAATGTGCCTGGGAAAGCAGTGAAGGATGGTCCAAGTGCTTTGGCCCCCTGCACTCACTTGGGATACCTGGAGGAGTATCCTGGTTCCTGGCTTCCGCTTGTCCTAGCCCCAGCTGTTGTGGCCATTTGGGAAGTGAACCAGTGGATGAAAGATTTCTCTCTCTCTCTCTCTCTCTCTCTCTCTCTCTCTCTCTCTCTCCATTCCTCCTCCTTTCTCTGTAACTCTTTCAAATAAATAAATAATAAAAAATTATTTGGGGGTTGTTGCTGTGGCATAGTAGGTTAAGCCTCTGCCTACAGTACCAGCATCCCATACTGGTGCCAGTTCATGTCCCAGTTGCTCCTCTTCCAATCCAGCTCTCTGCTTATGACCTGGGAAAGCAGCAGAAGGTGGCTAAAGTGCTTGGGCCCCTGCACCCATGTGTGAGATGCATAAGAAGCTCCTGGTTCCTGGCTTTGGATTGGCCCAGCTTTGGCCATTGTTGTCATTTTGAAAGCAAACTAGCGGAAGGAAGACTTCTTCCTCTCTCTCTCTCCTTCTCTCTGTCTGTAACTGTGCCTCTCAAATAAATAATCTTTTTGAAAAAATAAATATTTGCCAACCATTTATAAACTATCCATCCATTGATTTTTGAAGTGTCACCTCCTCAAAGCCACCTCAAGCTCCCAAATGGGGTTAAATTCCTATTTCTCTTCATTTACACAGGTGCCAATTTGTAAAACTCTTATGAGTTTCCTGATGACAGCAATCATATCCCTGCCATGTCTCTAGAGCTTGGCACAACACCTCAAAAAGTATATATGTGCAGAACAAACGAATGAATGAATGGAGACTTTGCCTCCTTTCCAAAGCAAGTCATGCTATTGCTTGATAACTTGTAGACTAAGAAACACCCACTCAAAATGAGGTGAAAATTACTTTACATTTTCCATACAGCATTCTAACTCTTCACATTTACCTAATAACACTTAGTAGAGTTATTTTCTTCTAAGAAGAGCCCTTCGAATTTCTGCAGATAACCATATTGTGTCTCTAATTCTGCTTAGCTTCCTCAATATTTCCATGCACAAGATGTATCCCTATGTCCACATCAATCCCGCTTCTTATACCCAGATATGTTGTTTTGTCAAAGCTCATCCCAGTGGAGACAGAACCAGACATACTACTTGAAGTATGAACTGCTTAGCTTCCTGGAGAGTATAGACTGTGCATTTTCCCCACTAGAGGGTCTTCAGTGTCTGGCAACATACACAAGATTCTCAGTAGGTATTTGTGGAATGAACAAGTGCATTTTGAGATATATCAGATTTCCTTTATAATTATTTCATACTCAAAGCTCATTTACCTGTGAATTTTTTTCTATGAATTGACTCAGTTTAGATCAATTCTTCAAAATCTATAGAAAAAAATTAAATCTCAGCGATATTAATATAGAACTAGAATATGGAACATTCCCACAAAACTCAGAGGAAATTAAGCCAACATGATCAAATCCTGATTTCCCCAGGGATGTGTCCTTGTCCTTTAACAGAGAAATAGTCTCCAAACCTACATTGTTTAAAATAGCCTATTCCCAGTGTTTCAATGTGACAGTCAAAGGAAATTAAGAAAAGCAGCGACACTGGATGCTACTCTTTCCCAGTGCTGCACCTGTATATAACCTGCTATAATCTTAGAATAAATACTGAAAGTCTCGCCCCTCTCCTCCGCCTCCTTCTCAGAGTTAAAGCAGCTCTGGTATTCTCCAAAATGTTGGTGTCCAAGAAGGTGATTTTCCATGAAGTCATGGGACAAGCCTTAGTTGGCCTTCTCTGAGACCCCCTAGCAGGTGCACGGGACCTGCCAGCACCCATCAGCGGCTTGCAGAGGCAACCTCTGCTTCCACCCACGAGTGAGATTTGATCCGACTGGAGGATGCAGCGCTCAATCGACTTTCAGCAGCACAGCGCGAAGTTGAGGCAGAGGCAGAAGGAGCGCGCCTGTGTGTGTGCCTGTGTGCCAGCGCGTCTAGATCGCTGGGGCTGGTGCGGCCGGTAAATAAAGGGTGGGGCAAGCGAAGGAAGCAGGCAGGCAAGCATTGAGAGAAGCCAGAGTGTGGCTCTGGTCCCAGTTCACCTGCCGGAGCTCATCCGGTTCGCTAGAGCCCCTGCACCAACTCACCCAGTTCCCTCTCCTTCTGGGTCCTCCTTCCCCCCTCCCACTCCCCTCCTTCTCCGCCTGCACCCCACCCCCAATCCTCCACTTTTGCATCTGACCAGAGGACGGATGAGGGAGACGCTCCCGCAAATTGAGGCAGCAACTTTGCTTCGCTGGTCTCCGGGTTCCGGCAGCAGGAGCGCTCTGGTCCTCGGCGGCGGCGTGCGGCCCATGGAGGAGGAGGAAGAGGAGCGGTGATGGGCTAGCGACACGAGCCAGGGGCCCGAGCGAGCTCAGCGAAGCCAGCCGGCTCCGCGTTCCCACGCCGCTTCCCTCCCTCCCGTCCGGTGGGGGAGCGCCCGGGGTGCAGACCCGGAACATCCAGGGAGGATGAAGAAGGGACCCGGCCCGAGTGGGGCGCATCTCGCGGACGTGCGGCAGCTGCTGTGCTCGGCATGAATTAAGAAGCCAAGAAGATGGAGCGCTGCACACTCCTCGCCCAGCCAGGGCTCGGGACCGCGGACACCAGCTGGGCACTCCTCTATTTCCTCTGTTTCGTCCTCCCCTCGTCCGCCCCGCAAGTACTCAGGATCGGTGAGTGAGCCCCGGGGAGCGCTCTGGGCTGCTGCGGACGCGGGGGACTCGGGCTCTGCCCGCGGCCAACACGGGCGCAGCGGGTCCCGGGCGAGGCGGCGCGCGCCGGCGCGGGGGTAGGAGCTGGGGATGGTGGAGGTCAATGCGCACGAAAAAGGGGGAGCCGCGTCACCGCTTCCCTCCTGGCTGGAGCCGGGGCTTCCCCAGGAGACGCAGTTGGCGGTTTTTTTCAGTCCCGGCTTGGGGAACACAGACAAGAGTGCTGAGATCCAGGCTCGTCCGGGGTTGGCACCTTATCCCGGGCGTGGGGTCTGCACCGCCGCAGCCACTTGAGTTGGGGGACAGGATAAGATCACCCAGCCGCCCGGGTGGAAGTCGAGCTGTGCTGATCCGCGGCTGTGGTCCCTGGCAGCCTGCACTCTGGGTACCCGCAAACGCGGCGCGATGTCAAGAGTAGAACACCCGGACCACTAGGAACGCGGGTCTAAGCTGGAGGCGGTTAGCCCTGAGCCTCCAAGTTTCCATCTGTGAGTTGTATTCTTCCACAAAGTCCGGAGGGTTCCACTATAAACGGGTAGAGTCTGGCTTTGACTCCTGGCTGAGGGTTCGAGGCGACGGTAGCATGGCCCCAGAGCACTTAAATTTCCCACTTGCTCCCCAGTCTACCCCTTCTTGCCCACCACTGAACACTATCTCCCTGGGAGACCTCTGGGCTTTGATCCTGAACCAGATAAAACAAGACTGGAAGGGAGAACGAACGTGGGAGTCCTGGGGCAGCCCAAAGAGCAGAAAGCAAGAGCAGTAGAAGGGGTGACAATTCATGGACCTAAATTTACAGCACGCAACTCCAAGATTTGGTCTATGGGGGCACTGAGCAATTTCTGGGCTCTTTGCATTAAAGCTGTTAACTCCTTTCCATCTACTCAACTTTGTGCTTTTGGTCTGTGTGCTCTCCTCATCGCCTCCTCCAGACTGTGTCACTGGAAGAGCCACAGGTGAAGATGTGACAGCACACAGGTCTCCTCCCACTTAGGCAGCAAGAGCTAAGCCTGGAGCTGTGGGGCTTCTAACTGGAACCCTCTACAGGGACAGAACATGAGAACATGCAAGAGACAGTGTCAGGCACTCCTGAGGCTGGACCACTTCTATAACTGTTCTAGTCCTGATTCACAATTAGCAAGCCCTTGGCAAAAATCCAGAACTTAGTGGAGTTTTTTGTTGTTTATTTTATTTCAACTTAGTTATTTTACAATAAATAGATGAAGTTTGCTACTTTGAATTGCATTTTCTGTAGGCATGTGGCATCTAGTATTCAAGGAAAGAAAAGATCCCAATTATGAATTCTTACTGCAGTCATGTTTTTCTAGACTATGGATAATGATAGTGCGTATTTCATTAGGTAATTTATACTATTTGCTAAAATAATTCCAACATACTACCTTAAAAAAATCACTTCTTTTTCAGAGCTAAAATATACTTCATTTGAGATATGATCTAGCATTAATATCCTGTTTTGGATGCAATCAACTCTACTCACTGGGGTTTAAAAAATTCTGGTGAACAATACAAACATGTAATGAGTCTGTGTTACAATTTCTAATGCTTATTAACTTAATTGGAGTTTTGCTTGTGTGTCATACATTTTGAAAGCGACAAACCTAAGCATGCTGGAAATGACTATGCCAGGAGGGAGAATTTTGCTTTCCTGTATCCCCCAAATCTAAAGGAAATCAAGGCGGGAGATGGAAAAGGATGTTCCAAGATGTATTTGTTCACATATCTGATTATTTTTACAAGCTCTAAGCAGTCACAATCATCCATTTAAAAGTAATTTTCAAAGTGAAAACAACCAACATGATTCAGTGACCTTAAAATATATGCCACAAGGTAATGAGATTTCCTTTTTCTAAATGGGAGCCAAAATGCATAAAGTGAAATTTCATGGTCTGGTGTTGTTTATGTGCAGCACAAATGTCTTACTCCTTCTGGCCCCAAGTGACCTGTGATTGGCATGGGCTCTACTACCCTGTATCTATCCAAGAACCTGCATATTTTTTAAATAGGTGATTCGACACCATGGAAACCAGCTACAGCTCAGAGGAAATCTGCCTTTCTACAGTGAGTGTGTCAGCCAAGTCCATCACTGAATACAAACTATCAAAGAGATTGAGGACTAAGCAAAAATGTGTGTGTAAGGAAGCAGAAGAACTAAATTGTATTCTATTGCACCTCTTATCTCTCTTTCAAACAAACTACCAACAATCCATCCAACTAACAAAACAGGGTTCTTAATTATGAACTTTTATGCTTTTCAGTAATTTAAAATATTCTGAAGAAAAATACAGCATTTACATCAGGGTGTTAATACTAAAGTACTTCTATATACAAGGCATTCAAATGCTTGACTGGATTAATCACTGCATAATCTACTTTTCTGGAAGGAGGACTGCTTCAACCTTTGAGGAAAGGTATAAAATTTAAGTTAAAATTCATGTAAACTAAATATTTGAGAAATCACTCAGTATGTATATATGTATGCTTCTTGCACACATTGCTAATATCCTTTGGAAAGTTCATAATCATATGCAGAAGTTAAGAGACATAAAGGAAAACAGTAGAACACTGATGTCCTAAACATTAGTACACTGGAGAAGTTTCCCATCAGTTTGCATGGACTAGAAATATAGTCCCAAAAATTCTATGACACTGCCAGGGTCATTTTTGTCTTTCTGTGGACACTGCTGTATGTCAACAACCAGTTAATTTTCTCACACAGCTAGTTGGTCTGTGTGCCACACAATCACAGTCATTCACTGAAAATGGGCAGCCAACTTATAAGTAGTGGTCATATCATGGTCTATGTATCCTTAGTAGATGGTGGCCCACCACCATGTATGGTGAAAACAATAACTCAATTGCTATGCAAATTGTAGAGCAGAATTATATTTGAAGTAATAATAACAGAAACATGTATTGACAGAGCATGTTTGTGTCCATCATCTAAACATGCACAATCGTGAAGATGGTGATACAGGCATAGGATTATAAGTTAAATGGTGGGTATCAAGGCTTTCTGCTCTGTGATTTGAAATGAAAAAGTACAGATTTGGGTCCAAGCTCTTTGATTTACTAGATTCACGTCCTAGTGAGAGTCATTTAGTCCACTAAGATTTTGTTTCTGCTTCTGAGAAATTGAGTTAAAACTAGATGAGACTTCATAGTTCCACTGATAAGAGTATGTGAAATAGAATATGAAAGGACTTTATTGAGTACCTAGATATATTAGTTGCATTGTTATTATTATTGTTGTTATCTTGGTTTTATTTTTGTGTTTTATTGTCTACATTTTCTTCCTGAACAAGGACTAAAGAGTCAATGTGCTATATTTCTATAAGATTATTGTATTTCTAGGCCTGATTTTCTTTTTCTGTGAATGAGTGGTAATGATGTCTGCCTTTTCTGTTTTCACAGGGGATGATCAAATACACTATTTTTTTAGTTGATTAAACAAACCACTGAATGAATTTAATATATTCCTACTGTGTAATTAAGTATTTCATATAAAAAGAAATATTGTAGAAACATATATGAATAGTATGAAACATTATAGTGAAATGTAATTGCCCAAATGCATTTATTTCCTCATGAGAGACCCAAGTCTATCTATGTCAATCATTACTTTGCTTGTAGAATCAATTTTGGAATATTTGAGTCTCAAGAGTCCCCAAAGTTCCAACTAATGTCTGTATTTTTTTATTTTTTCTTCAGTATACAAAAACTCACAACTTTATTCTTAATTCTTTCATCATTTCAGTATTTATTCTTTATTCAACAAATATAAATTGATCTTTCTATCTCCTACCATTAGTCATATATACTTCTAGGTACAAGACACACAATACTGAACAAAAAGGACCAACATATTTGCCCCCTGGAAGCTTGCATTCTGGTGATTTACAATATGTGTTACCCCTAGTCTTTCATCAGTACTTCAATGAAGACTCTTAAATTTTTTTCAAATATTATTCTGGGAGACTTTTCAGTAAATGCTCTACCATTGATTTATTATATTAATTGCATAGTCAGAATGGAATTGGTACCTCCACCTAATATGCATTGAGTACAGACAGCTTGGGTTCACACTACCACACCTGGAACAGAAATTCAGAGAATTGCTTTTGTTTAGGAAGATCCTCTTGGCCTGAGAGTGAATCATTGTGAGAGAGACACCTGTGCCTTGCAAAACATGGTCCTAACACTAATTTACAAACTCCAGCTTAGCCTTGAAAAATCTGAAAGAGGAAGAATCTAATAGCTTGAAAGACAGCAATGCCTAAATAATGTCAACATAGCTGTGCAATTGAGTGGATTGTTTTTCTTATGATTTTATCTACATTATTCATCTTTTTAGTTGATACAGATTTCATAGGTCTAAAGTCAACTCCATGCAGATCTCAACTGTGGCAACTTTTCCTGTATATTTTGTAATTTCTAGTTTTTTAAGAAAAACATGACTTGGTGACTTAAGTTCAAGTGCTACTTGGTAAAAATGAGGATATTTTAAATTTGCCACTTTGATCTCAAGTTCAAGCTCCTTGCATTAAATCATGCTGTACTTTGTATGGACTTACACACTGGGATCTTCAAAAAGTTCATGGAAAATGCATATCATGAAAAAACATGCATGGGTTTAAAAATGTTTTGCAACAAAATAAACACCTTTTAATTCCATTTTCTGTGAGCCGTTTGAAGTATCTGTATATACTAAGTTAAAATCAAATATAAGCAAAATGAACTGTTGCTTTTAGTTATTCAAAGATATCTAATTCAAAGATATATAAATAACAAAATTAGTGTGATTTACATTTCAAGCACTTAGCAAAGAGAAAAGTTAATATTATCAGTGACCCCACAGAATTTCTCTTCAAGAAGGGTTCAAGAAATGTGAACAAGTTGGAGGGAGAAGGCTTGTTACTTATGCCTAGCAAACCACTGTATTT